TGTTTGCATCCTTTTCCACAGTTCAGTGCATTCAGAACAAGCAGCTGTATTTTGCTGACCGCCTGTACGACTCCATGAAGGTACCACTTCCGAAAGCAGAGCTAGGCATTTTGAAAGAACCTTTCAAGGGATTTTGTGCAGATGGAACTCCTGGAGACAGTACATCCCACCCCACGTTTCTCTCTGTTCTTTGTCATGGCTTTTCCCTTTAATTAGTGGTACTAATTAAAAAAGAGGAGCCAAACTATTCCTCCCGATCGGTGGGCTAACATTTTGGGGGACAAAGGCCAATATTTACTCCTATGGGTTGCAATTCTGCCCGCAAGCGCAGTTTTCCCCTGTCCCTCTCAAAATGGTGAGAGGAAGTCATGCAGTGTCACTTCTGACTGCCATTTTGAGAAGGGCTGCAGAGGGAAACAAGTATTTGGGGGGTAGTATTGAATTCTGGGATGCTTGTAAGTGTGTGGGGGAAGTATTTTTGTGCATTTACACACGCAATAGGTGGCTTTCCGTGTGGTTTGGGGATAGAAAATTGCACAATATTTTACAAAAATTGATGGGTAGTAGGCTACGGGAGACTGTTGGGGGGACTTCAGGGGCCACATAAATGAGGTCCACATGGGGTGGTGGTGGTGTCACACTTTATTCACCTAATTCATTATTGCAAGCTCTGCAAGCTATTTTTGCAAGTGGAAATCGAACAGCCCTCCAGCTGTTACAAGACTGGAGTGCAGGGCATTGTAGTCCATCAACATCTGGAGGGCTCGCTTTGCCACCTCTGCTCTAATAAAGTTTAATAGAAATATTCAAAATATATTCATCAGAGCTTGCAGTAATGAATTAGATGTGAAGTGGTTGCATCTACCTTGTTATTTTTGGGAGCGTAACAAAGGATGCAGCCACACTGTAGAAATAATGCAGTTTGACACCACTTTACGTGCTGTGGCTCCAATACCGAATCCAGGGATTTGTAGTCTTCTCTCTGCCAAAGAGTGCTGGTGCCTTGCCAAACTACAAATCCCCAGATTCTGTTGCATGGAGCCATGGCAACTACAGTGGTATCAAACTCCATTATTTCGACAGTGTAGACGTACCCAAACTCAGATTTCCAAAGAAACATGAGGAGCAAGAGCAACTTTACTTTATTAGACTAACAAGTGATGGTTTCTAGATTCCTCTCCAAAAAAGTTACTTTTTTAGGTGCTGTTTTTTTATTTTTTATCTTTTTTGACAGCGGCTTTTGCAAGATCTATTCCAGGTAATTTACATTCACTTTGTGAAAATAAAATGAATCCTTTTCAGGGCAAAGGAACCCGGGACAAGATCTTGATCAGGATTATGGTCTCTCGCTCTGAGGTTGACATGCTGAAAATTAAGAGCGAATTCAAGAGGAAATATGGAAAGTCCCTTTATTACTTCATCCAGGTGAGTTTCCAGTCCACTGCAGATTTTAATCCAGGGTTTAAAAGTAATGAAATTGCATGTTGGGTTTTTGGGCATCTTAAAGGAATGCACTTTTATCTGTTCTGCAACAACTCTCAGGCTGTGAAAAATTCACATGGACAGCATATTCCTTATGCACAATTATTTGGGACTAAAAGTGAGTGAAAAGTCTGACATTCACTCACTTTCTCCCAAATAGTCCTGCATAAGGAATATGCTGTCCACGTGAATTTTTCAGGAATCCCACAAACCTTCTCATACTTTATGTAAAGCCATTTCCCCCTTGGGGTGCAAAACCTCCTGGGACGTGAATTTAAAAAACACTGAATGCTTAACGTACCCTTAATGGCCACATCAGCAAAAACAGCTGGCGCGGCTGTGTTTTTGCATTTGCATGCCTCTCCCGAATGTGATGATGCAGCAGGAGAGGTAACAAAGTGGAAGGCATCACTTGGCACTCTTTTGTGAGCCTTATTATTATTGATTTTTGTCCTTTAATTTCTCCACTGTAAGGGAATTTAGAAAAAACAACAACAACAACA